GGGGTTATAGGAGGGGGGACGGGCTAAATGGGTAAGGGGTACTAAGGAATCTACTCCTGAAATCATTGTTGCACTATATACTAACTAATTTGGATGTAAATTAAAAAAAATAAAAAATAAAATTAAGAAAAATGAGGTGAATATGCAATTTCTAGGGCACAAATACACTTAAGGACAAAATACATAATATGATAGAAATAGGACCTTAAAAAATATGTCCTGATTTTGTCTTTAGTCAATTTTATGTTCTATATCAGATATATATAGACACAAAATTTAAATATTAATAATTTCATATGGTCCAAAAGAAACTTTAAACACTATAGTTAAAAAAAATAAAAATTACAATTAAAGCCTCTTCCCATATTTGTCCCCTTTTTCCCTTGCCCTGCCTTCCTCCTGTAGTTAACTATTTTTAATTTCCCTCTAGTGTATCTTTATGCAAAAATAAATGCATTTGTGGGTGCCTGGGTGGCTCAGTTGGTTGAGCATCCGACTTCGGCTCAAGTCCTGATCTCACAGCTCATGAGTTCAAGCCCTGTGTCAGGCTCTGTGCTGACAGCTCAGAGCCTGGAGCCTGCTTCAGATTCTGTGTCTCCCTCTCTCTCTCTGCCCGTTCACTGCTCATGCTCTGACTCTCTCTCCCAAAAATAAATGAACATTAAAAAAGATTTTTTAAAACCCCACATTTGTAATTCCCCAATCTTTGTGCACAAAAGGTAGCATATTATATACTCAGTTCGATAGCTTGCTTTTTTTTTACTTAACCCTGGAGATAATTCCAGATCAGTAAATGCAGGCCTTATACTTGTTTGTGCACCACAGTATTTCACTGTGGGAAGTACCACAGTGTTTTCAACTAATCCCCTATACATGGACAATTTGCACATTAAGAAATTTTATCAGGGGAGGAGGTGAAAAAAGAAATTTTATCAACGTGTTTTGAATATAAGCAGTGTTCCAGGGACCATGTTACCTATTGTAATCTTCTTCTTTTTCACTCTCCATACTCAGTAACTACCACAACGTTACCCCTTTACACTTGGTGCCTCCCACAGCCCTGAATTCTCCCCTTTGCTCTGCAAGTGTCCCCTGACTGCTTGCTGAGCATCTCCTTGAGGGTGGTCCATGGCTATGCTGGCCAACACCATAGCCACTTGTCCTGTTCAGTTATTCAAATTTAACATAATCAAAATAAAAGTCAGTTCTTTGGTCAGACTAGCTACATTTCAAGTTCTCAGTGGCCGCAAGTGGCTAGTGACCACCCCATCAGACAGGGCACATACAGAACACTTCACTGTTGCAGAAAGTTCTGTTGGAGAGCACGGGTGCACAGAAATCTCAACCTCAGGTCTAAAGGTCACTCTCTACCCTTCTGCCATGTGGAAGTTGCTCCTCTTGTACCTCCCTCGTTAGACTGTCAGCATCTGGAGGGATGATGAACTTTCCTCTGTTTCTCCTTAGTGCTTACCTAGCACAGTGCCAAGGACATCATCCATGTTCAATAAATGTGGAGTGAAAACATGAGTGACGAGGACACCGAGGCTCCTGGTCGAAGTATGCCCAAGGTCACAATCAGGATGTGCCTCAGCTGTTGAACCCAGATTATTTAGCTCCCTGGGTAAGGTTATAGGACATGACTTATGTTAACTTTCATTTCAAGATACTGAATCAATAGCTACCGAAAACGAAAATTTTAGCTGAATAACACTGGAGAAAGCTTTTATTTCCTTTTGATTTTTTTTTTTTTCCTGGAAGTTTTGGATATCTGATCCTAAAGATCCCTTGGGAACCTCAGAGAAACTCTCTCACTTGAGAATTGGGTGGGGAAGGCCCCAACCTCTGGTCTCTGGGAACCAATGGTTTGTTTTGGTCGGTAAATACACTGTATTGGTTTGCCAAGACTGCCATAGCAAAATACCACAGACTGGGTGGCTTAAACAGAAATTTATTCCTCGAGGTTTGGGAGGGAGGCTAGGAGACAAAGATCAAGGGGTTGGCATGTTTGGTTTTTCCTGAGGCCTCTGCCCTTGGCCTACAGTTGGCTATCTTCATCTTGTGTCTGCACGTGGTCCCCCTCTGTGCTTTGTCTGTGTCCTTCCTAATCTCTCTTCTCATAAGGACACCAGTCAGATGGGATTAGGGCCCACCCTAAAGACTTCTTTTTTAACTTAATCACCTCTTTAAAGACATTATCTCCAAACCACTCACATTTTGAATCCTGGGGATTAGGGCTTCAACATGTGAATCTGGGGGAGGCACAATTCAGCCCATAAGTGTACATTGTTTCCTAGATAGACCCAGAGTCCATTCTCTTCCACATTTCTCTTTGACAAGAGATAGCAACGAATATTATGTTTATCAAATTATAGGCTACTTTTATTCTATTGAAAGAGAAAGACTCCAAACACCTTTGCTAAAGGTCTGCTTTGTTCTCCAAAACACAAGATGCAGTTCAGCTGATATGGAATGAAAAGTCTTCTTCAGGGAAAGCAAATAGAGGTGTAGTATGGAGAAGTGAAAAAAGAAAAGGAAACTGAGTCATGGATACCACAACCAAGGTAGGGGTCAGCCACATGATAGTGTTGAAGGGAGGTGAGGGTATGCTTTGAAGATATCCGAAAAACAGTAGAGATGCCTCTTACCTAAAGGCGCGGGAACAATATTTTCATGGTCAACTTCTTATGAGGCCATTAAATCCAGTAGTGGGTGTTTTTTAAAAAAAAAGATGTGGAGAAGTTAGGGAAGGGTTCTAGTCACATTTTTCTCCCTGATTATAAAATTTGTTGTATATAGAAGAAAGAAGAATAAAGAAAATAAAATATAGAAGAATAAAGAAGAAAATAAAAAATGCTTGAAACTAATGTAACATTGTCAAGTCTTCTTCAGTAAAAAAAATAAAGAATAAAAATGAGAAAATTAAAAAAAGATCCTGTTTATCTTTAACCTGTCATTCTCCAACACTTTTCAATTTAGTTTTCAAAGACAGGATCATCCCACATATACTGCTCTTAGAATCCATGTTTCCATTCATTATATCATGACCAATGTTTGTCTGGATTATTTTTAAAAATCTTGTTATTAATAACTGAAAAGAATTCCATCACATAAATGTGGTTGAATTTGTTTAACACATATAGATAATTTGTTTAACCATGACCATGTGGGTTGGAAAAACAAAAATTATTAAAGGAGTGGAAATAATACCAAACAACATGTGATAATAGTAATTAATAAAATTTTTTACTATAATTTTGGAGTACAGACAACACAAATAGCCTTCCCACGTGAAAACCAGCTCTGACCACACCCCTGCCCTCTTCTTTCTGCGCTACTGAACATCAAGCCCTGGGTGACAGCCATTTGTAGGACCAGGTAGAGTGGCCTGGATTGCTAAGAAGTGAGGTGAGCTGTGGATTATATGGTGTCGTTTGAGGGGAGTCACATGCATCTCTTCTAGCTTGATCCAGACAGATGCAATACTTCCACCAACAGATTCATTCCCGAGGGTCAGTGAAAGAGGGTCCTGTCCCTTAAGAAATGTACATACCCTTGGTAAGGGCAGGGCATGTATGTAAAATCACTGCTAGTCTTGAATCTTCGGAATTTCCATGTCTGAGAACTTTCTTCTACCTAAAGGGACCACAAAAGCTTGGGAAGTGGGATTCCTGAAGACACAGAGCTCCCTAGCCTGTAAGGGTGTGGACCAGGAGGCTGAGGTCCTGAAGGCACAGTATTCCAGCCTGGATCACTTAGGGTCTTGGATAGTTAAGATTTGGGGGGAATAAGCCAGTCTGAGCTCTGAATTTCCTCTCAGCAATCTGGGTTGGATGTGATACTCCAAGGTTGCTTTATTGTCTCCATTCTGGACTCTGTCCTGTCTTCCTCTAAACCCTCTGAACCTTGGCTGGACTCAGCTCCCAACTAACCTATTTCTTCTTGTGTTTGAATCGTTATCTCGGTGAATGGCACCACCAATTGTTCAGTTGACAAAGCTTAGTGATTCTGGTTTCCTCTCTCACCCTCACAGCCAGCCTAGTTACCAATTCTTGTTGATTTTGCCTCTGGGCTGTTTCTAAGAGCCTTTCCCTCATCCTTAAACTCTGGAGCATTGCCTGAGTTTAGGGTATCCTGACTCTCCAATCCGGCTGGACATTGTTGCCAGAGAGGTCTTTCTAATGGTACTGATCGTGTCACACCTTTGTCTAAAGGGCCTTTCTGATGCCCAAACTCTTCAGCATGGTATATAATGATCTTCACAACCTGACACCCACTTATTTGTAACCTCTTCTTCCAGCACACCAGTTTTCCTAAACACCCCATGTGTACATGCTCCTATACCTTTGTGGGTTTTCCACCCTCAAGTTGGTACGTTCTCATTTACCCTTTAAGAGCTGGAGCAAATGTAACACCTATAACTTGGAATTCACTGTTCCTTCCCTTGGGCTTCCATTGAGCTCTGTATAATTGCCTTCTTACCTGGACTGTGAACTTCTTGAGGGCAGGGACCTGAATCTGCACTTAGCATGGTGCTCAAATAGACATTCAACAAATAATTATTCCATTAGAGAGCCAGTGTTTACAGTTTGTACTTCCCTTGGTGCCTAATATTGTCTTGTATGGCAGTCCTTTTAAACATATGAGGTGTGACCAAGCCGTGATGTTGATGTGACTCATTACTTAATAAGCATACCAGAATTTATGGAACCAAATGAGAGCTGCTTAGCTGCTTCCTTCAAAGTCTTCATCCTGTGAGGCTGGATACTTAGTCCTGCCATGCTTTCATTGTTCAAAACACCTCTGGAACACCTCTCTTGGAAACAACTTCGGCATTTGTAGCACTTTCTTTTCAATCTCCCCCGTGGTAGCTTTTTGTTTGTTTCCACTTATTAAACATTTATTATGTGCTTATCTATCCCAGGCACCAAACTGGTGCTGGGTGAAAGATAAGATAAATCAGACATTCACTCTGTCTTCAAAGAAGTTTCTGTTTGGTAAGGGAGATAAGATCTGGGCAAACACTGCAATACAAGCTTAAGTGATCATGTTCCCCAGAGGTTGGATCTGATTTTTGGAAAAAGCCAAAAGTCCTTTGGTTTCAACCTTCCAACAAGGTGAGTGACAGAGGTATGTGATAACACACTGCCTTAAACCAATGCCAAACAGGAGCCCAACTCGTTTCCAGTACCCCTCTCCCCAACAAGAGACTAAACTATTTGGCATGTTTGTTTCAAACCCAGACTCCCACTTTGTGGTAATGCTCTTCTATATATGGAGTCTTCTCAGCTAAATTATAAGCTCTTTGAGGGCAGGTGCTTAAGTCGTATTTTCATTTTTGTTCTCACAGCATCTGGTGGCCACATAATACATGTTGGATAAAGATTCACTCAGTTACTGAGCCCAAAAGGTGGCTCCCCGCGCCACACGTACTTCACATCGAATATCCTCTCCCCATGTGCTTTGCTCTTGGTAGTGACAGATCTGCCAGGGCCACGGGACAACGGCCGAAAGGACCAATGCAAGGGAGAGCGCGCGTGGGGGCACTGGCGGCGGATCTGGGACTACAGCCCGGGAGTTCCTGCTTCCTGGTTCCCCGGAGCGAGTGTCCTTTGGTGGGAGCCGCGGGGAAGGGAGCAGCCCTTCCTGCGCGTCGGGCGCCCGCCCCTCCCCCGGCCTCCCATGGACTTGTGCGGAGAGGCGCCAGCCGGCAACCGGGGACGCCGAGGGTGGCGGGGCCACCTACAGGACCCCCCATCCCGGTTACGGGGAAGGTTTTCAGCTCCTGGGAAAGGCAGTCGGAGACTCGGCCAGGAAAGGCAGGAACCGGGGGGCTCGGGGAGGAGGAACAGAGTCGCAGCGGAGAGATCCAAGGGAAAGTCTGGGTGCCGGGGAGCGGCGGCGGCCGGGTCCCAGCGGAGGGGGCCGGGTCCCAGCGGAGGGGTCCGCGCCGCAGCCGCCCCGCCGCCCCGCCGCGCGCGCCC